GTCTGTACGTCCCATTCGAGGTCTTCGCCGGGCCCATCACGGCAACTGCAATAATGTAGCCAGGCTCTTCACGCCTGATAGTCCCCCTAATACGCCTCTTAGATGGCTTCCGCTCGGCAACGTGATATGCTGTTAGGTTTTCCTCTGACACCCGCCTGCTACTACAACCCCCTGCTACCACAAGATGGGCATCGGGTCATTTAGCATCCAAGATACTAGGCCAAATCATGACCTCGGTCATAACGTGACGTGGCGCTTCAGGAGTTCTGGCCTCGCGTCACGAATCCGCTGCGATTTACGACAGCCTGGTCTTCTTCCTCATTCTTTTCCGGCCTAATCCCACCAGCCCTCTGGGCGTCGGTGGTTTAGAGCGTTTCCTCTTCCACCCCTCCTTCTTCCCCTTCGGGGAGGGGTTTACCCCTCCCCCTACCCCCTCCCCGCTGACCTCAGGGGGGGCCGCGATCGGTCAGAGCGTCCAAAACGGCCTCGGCGAGGAAGCCAAAATCATTGATTTTACTATGGTTTGGGCCCCATTTTGGCCTTCTGAGGGGCTCCAATTTAGGAACCCCGCTTCTTTGATCGATTTCCTCCACGATGGCCGCAAGAGGCCCCCAGGCTGCCCCAAGAGGCCGAATGATGGCCCCAAGATGGCCCCAAGAGGCCCCCCAAGAGGCCCCCAGGAGGCCCCCAAGAAACCCCCAAAAGGCCCCAAGAGACCCCCCAGAGGCACCCACGGTGCTCCAAGAGGCCCCAAGATGGCCCCAAGAGGCCCCAAGAGGCCCCCAGGAGGCCCCAAAGAGGATTCCGAACGGCCCACAGAGGCCCCCCCGAGGCACCCAAGACGCCGAAAAGCCCCTCAAGACGACCCTCTACTCGCCTGGGCGTCGTTTCTGGACGGGCTGGTGGGGATACGCGAAGCGTCTAGAATTTCGACTACAAGAACATGCTTCCCCTTGGCAGGGACCTCCAAATTCTGACTGTGCGAGTTGGACAAGCTCGCGGAAAAGACCAGGGCGAAGTCAGAGATGATGATTCAAGCCTCAAGGGTGTTGCCCCGTCCTACGGGAGGTGGGGATGAGGATGGCCTTCGGGAGCAGCTGTATAGCGGATGACGATGAGGAGGAGGAGGAGGAGGATAACCGAAGAGGAGAAAAGCAAAGGGATATTGAGGAGGAGGAGGAGGAGGCGCGGCGAGCAGATGACGAGGAGGACGCGGCACGGGACTGGGATGGTGAGGATGAGGCGCGGGAGGATGTGGATCCTGATCTCGCTTTGCCGGAGGCATCCACGGAGCAGAGGACGAGCGCGCACCGCGCCCTTTACACAGCCATGAACACCAGCTCTGCGCTGGAAGCTGCCACACCGAGGCCAGAGCTCCGGCACTCCGGGCCCTCGCGGGGAAGAGGCCCCCCTCGGGCCGTGGGGCCTGGGGCAAGACCCGACGGAGCCGAGAAAAGGCTCGGGGGAGCCCCTGGGCCTCCGACAGCACTGCGCGAGGAGGGGGCGTCGCCTCCCCCGACGCAGGGAGGAGGGGGCAGGGAAGGAGGGTGGAGGAGGAGGAGGAGGAAAAGGAGGAGGAGGAGGAGGAGGAGGAGGAGGAGGGCGGAGGGAGGAGGAGGAGAGGGAGGAGGGAGGAGGGTGGAGGGTGGAGGGAGGAGGAGGAGGAGGAGGAGGAGGAGGAGGAGGAGGAGGAGGAGGAGGAGGAGGAGGAGGATGTTGCAGGCCCAAAAGGCAGAACAAAACCGTGGCGCTCAGCAAAGCGCGGGCCAACGTGCCCTGGCCAACGGCCAACGTGGCCAACGGCCAAAACCAAGGGCACACGCGCAAAAGAGGGAATCACGGACACAAGCTGGGACCTGACCTCCGGCCTCCTTTCCTTGACTAACTCCCAATAGCGCCAGAAACGCTGTGCCTTAGGGAGGAAATCAAGGAAAAGAAAGCAAAACCAAGGACCGCCCTACACCCCGCGCCAAAATGGCGCACGGGGGTTCGGGATCGGCGCCCAAGGGACAATACACGGAGCGTTGCCCAGCGCCCGCACCCTCACAAGCACGGCAACAGTGTGCCCGCGGCAAAGAGCACTGCAACCAAGAGGTTACAGGCGGAAAGCCGCGGGCCCCGCCTCCGTGGTCGTCAAACGGCGGTACACCTCAGACCAGGAGGTGCCACTGGGGTCTTCCCGCGCCCAGGCCGCACCTCTTGGCCGAGGTGGCAGGGCACTAAAAGCCCTGGCCTGACAGCTGCAACGGCAACAGCAGCGGCAGCAGGGAGGGGGAGGGGGAGGGGGCCACTCTCCGGCCCAGGAGCGCAAACAACGTCCACCCTGGAACCTAATCCAGGGCCGTGCCGCAACTCCCAAAGAGGAAAAGGGCGACGGACACGACGACGAAACGAGACACGAAGGACGACAACGAACGACCACGAACCTCCCAGCGGGAAGTGCCGCCCTCCGCCCTATCCTTATCGCACCCGGAACGCGGGCGGGATAAGGATCTGACATCATCGGACCCACACCGCATTCAGGCGGTGCCACACGGAGCCCAGGCTGCACCGCTTATCCGCGGTGGCGAGGCATTTGAAAATTGCCTCGGCCTGACGGCGAGGAGGAGGAGGAGGAGGAGGAGGAGGAGGAGGAGGAGGAGGAGGAGGAGGAGGAGGAGGAGGAGGAGGAGGAGGAGGAGGAGGAGAGCGCGGGCTCAGGTCGCCCCACCCGGAGGTCGCGAGCCGGCGCCAGGCGTCCTCCTCGGACGCTGCCCCCTGCTTCCCTGTTTCCTCTCCCCCGCCCTCCGTCCCGTGCTCATGGCGCCGCCATGGTTGGCGGCGGGGCGCCCCCGGCGCACTGCGGCTGCACGCAAGGCGCAGGCCGCCGGTGCCTCTGTGGGCGCTGCCCAACAGCTCTTGAGACAGTTTTCGGCGTTGTCGCATCGCGGTTGCAGTCGCACTCGGATCGGAGCTGCCTTGGAGGAGGCTCTCCGTCGGGCCGGTGCGCCTGCGGCAGGAGAATGCGGAGAAGGCCATGATGGGGGTGATGACGTTGGTCAGGCCATTCTAGCAGAGGAGAAGAGTGCTGCTCCCCCGCTTCCTGAGGAGAAAAGCCACGCCCTTATGCTGTCAGAGGAGGAGTGCATTGCTTCCGGCCCTGTTGTAAAGCAGAGTGTTCATGTCGAACCTGGCGAAGAGGAGAGCACATCTGCCCAGCCTGCCGCTGCGCCGAGCGGCACTCATGAATCTGCAGAAATGTTCTCAGTCATGTCCGATTTACATCAGAGAGTTCAGGAGGACGAGGGCCAGGTACAGTTCCTGTCCTCCATCGCTGCGAGTTCCCTCCCAGCTGACCTGAACAAGGTGCCGCACTCTGACATAGCGACTGTGTTGGCGCGTTTCAGAGAAGAGGATACCAAGGCCATCACGGCCATTGGCGCGGCCATGGCTTCTTCCCAGAACGTGTCGGCTGCTGCAGATCCGGCATTCGAACACTTGCAGGTTCGTCTGAAGGCAGCCCAAAGAGCCTTAGTGAAGGCCCTGCTGACTTCACGCAACTGGTCGGTGTGCTGTCGCGAGTGAGAACTGTAGCGCGTGAGCTGTAGCGAGTGGGCCGTGGGCAGGTGAGATGAGCCGGGCACGTGGCTGCGCTGTTGCCTTCTGTAGTTCTGGACGCGGCTCGGATTGCTGGTTGTCCTGGGGGTTTCCGCGGCTGGGCCTTTGGGGGCTCTTGGTGTCCTGGGGTCGTCGGGTTCCTGTCTTCGCTCCCCCCCTGCGGTCTCCCTCTCTTCCTGCTCTTTCTCTCTTCCTTCTTGTTTCTCCCCTCTTGGGGGGGTGCGTTGGCGGGTTCCTGTTCTGGTTCTGGGGCTTTTGGGGTGTCTCTGGGGTCCCTCGTCGCCTCTGTCTCCATCCCGCTCTGTCTCGCCATGTTCCTAGTTGGGGCTTCGACCTTCCGCCCTAACCCCCGAGAGAGAGAGAGAGAGAGAGGAGGAGGAGGAGGAGGAGGAGGAGGAGGAGGAGGAGGAGAGGAGAGGAGGAGGAGGAGAGGAAAAAGAGAGAAGGAAAAGGAAGAGGAAAAGGAGAAGAGGAAGAGAAGGAGGAGGAGGAGGAGGAGGGAGGAGGGGAGGAGGAGGAGGAGAGGGTGAGGAGGAGGAGGAGGAGAAGGAGGAGGGGGAGGAGGAGAGGAGAGGGGAGGAGGGAGGAGGAGGAGGAGGAGGGAGGGAGGAGGAGGAGGGAGGGAGGAGGAGGAGGGAGATGATGGGAGGATGAGGAGAGGATGAGGATGAGGATGATGATGATGAGGAGGAGGAGGAGGAGGAGGAGGCACGGGAGGAGGGAGAGGGGGAGGAGGCTTGCGCAGTGCCATGCTGCTACATGTCGCGCCTCTATGTCAGCATGGTTTTTCTTTGCGCCTGCGCCTTCTTCTTCTTGCTCGCGCATGTTCGGACGCAGCGGCCCTGAACAGGTCAATGCCACGTGGATGAAGAAGAAGAGGGCGCGAAGGGAGGGGATGAGGAGACTGGGGCGCGGGAGGGGGAGATGGGGCGGGGAGGGAAAAGAGGAGGACGAGGAAGAGGAGGACGAGGAGGAGGTGGAAGGAAGGAGGAGGAGGAGAAGGGGAGGAGGAAGGGAAGGAGGAGGAGAAACGAGGTGGAGGAGGAGGAGGAGGCAGGAAAAGAGGGAGGAGGGCGAGGAGGGAGGATGCGAGGAGGAGGACGAGCAGGAGGAGAGGAGGAGGTAGGAGGAGGAGGGGGAGGAAGAGGAGGAGGAGGAGGAGGAGGAGGAGGAGGAGAGGAGGAGGAGGAGGAGGAGGAGGAGGAGGAGGAGGAGGAGGAGGCGGAGGTTAGGGAGGAAGGTGAGGGGAGGGAGGGAGGGAGGAGGGAGGGAGGAGGAGGGAGGGAGGGAGGGATGATGATGATGATGAGGAGGAGGAGGAGGAGGGAGGAGAAGGACGAGGAGGAGGAGGAGCAGGAGGAGGAGGAGGACTGCGGCGAGGAGTAGATGGGTGCCGCTGGCGCCTGCGGCGTGGTGTGGAAGCCGAGCTCGACGCGCAGCCACGACAGGAACGCGCCGCAGGCCTCCCCTCTCGAGGGGGCGCGTCGGGGGTGGGAGCCCACGGCCCTCCCGCACCTCCTCGTCGTCCTTCCTCCTCGTCCCCTCCTCGTCGTCCTTCCTCCTCGTCCCCTCCTCGTCGTCCTTCCTCCTCGTCCCCTCCTCGTCGTCCTTCCTCGTCCGTCCTCCTCGTCCTTCCTCGTCGCCCTTCCTCCTCGTCCTCCTCCTCGTCGTCCTTCCTCGTCGTCCGTCCTCCTCGTCCTTCCTCGTCGCCCTTCCTCCTCGTCCCCCTCCTCGTCGCCCTTCCTCCTCGTCCTTCCTGCGCCTCCCCGTCGTCCTTCCCCCCCACGCTTCCCCCATTTTCTTGGACAAGCTGTTGGGCCATGGGGGCCCGATGCTTCCCCTCATCTCCCTCCTCTTACTACGCCTCCTCCTCCCCCTCCTCCACCTCCGCCTCCTCCTCCTCCTCCTCCTCCTCCTCCTCCCCCTCCTCCTCCTCCTCCTCCTCCTCCTCCTCCTCCTCCTCAAGACTCTCAGGACTGCGAACCATTCTGTTCAATGAAGAGCTGGGTCCCTCGTCTCCGCCCCACCACTTCCCAGCAGTGGAACATCGCTGGTCGGGGAGCCGGGGGGTAAGTTTGGGCAGCACCACAGCCGAAAGGAGCGGCGTCCCCGGAGGAGAGGGAGACCGACGGAGGGGCGACACGAAAAGGAGCAACAGTAAGCTCGTGATCATCCTCCTCCTCCTCTTCCTGCTCCTCCCCCTCCTCCTCCTCCTCCTCCTCCTCTTCCTCCTCCTGCTGCTGCTTGCCCTTTTCCTCCTTTCTCGTCACTGCCCACTCCCGCCCATCCCTCCTTCTCGCCCCTCCTCTCCTTCCCCCTCCGCGCCTCCCTCCTTCCGACTCCTCCTCCTCCTCCTTCCTCCTCCGCCCCCGCCATCCCGCCGCCGCTCCTCCTCAACTTCCTCCCGCTTCCCGCCCCCGGCCTCGCGAAGTGCCCAAGGCAGAAGTGCGATTCAGGTTATAGGAAATGAGCTGATCCTGATGGGGTCCACGCTGCATCGCGAATCGCTCCAGTGTTAGCACCTGCGCCGGTCCATTCTGGATCCCGAATCGATCCAGTCCTGATCCTGAACCGATCAGTTGTTCAGACGTACTTCGGACCGCCTCAGGATCAATAACATGTCCGATCCAGATCAAATCTGTCTGGATCCTGAATAGGCCTGCCTGGAAACTGCTGACGGACTGATTCGGGATCCAAAGCTAGCTCGTTCAGAATCGGATTCGCTCTGGATCCTGAATCGAGCCGGTTACCGCGGGCCAACAGACAAGCTCTCAATCCAAAGCGGAGCAGATTAAGACCTGCTCCGAAGTCCACCTGGCCCCGCAGAGAAACCCAAATGAGGCAGCACACGCGAAGAAAACAACTCGACCTGGCCTCGAGACGGAACCCTTAACAGGAGAGCCAACGCACAGGAAAGCCGACACAACAGACATACAGTCAACCCGTATCAGAAGGATGCGCGGTGAGGATGCACGGGCCTTGGAAGGCCATGCCGACACTTTGCGAGCGGGGCGCGGCCAGCGAGAGTGGCCAAGGATGGACCGAGGAGGGGAAAATGCAAGGGCACTCTTGGGAAACCTGCCTGTCCTTGCTATGCAGGTTGACTGTAGCACCACGAGACATACGGCCCGCACAAATCTCGAATATTTGGGCAGCTTTTTCCGCCAGCGAACGACCCCGCACAAGAAGCCCCGGACGGGAAAGCACACCTGAGCATTTTCTTACGGTGGAGGGCACAAAGAGAAATCCACATGGGCTCTCGCACCTCGAAAATCAATCCGTCTTGTGATTCACCTTTTGCAGATTCAAGCCTCGGAAACCAATCGAAACGGCATCTCAGAACTCAGCCTCTGCCCTCCACCCAATGAACATGCTCGGCAGACACCTGAACGGGCCAGCGAACAGAGAAGAATCGCACCCACGAGTGCAGACTGCGCGGCGCCCGACCCGCGCAGATCTCCCGAAGCGAGCAGCTGCCCCCCGTGCGGAACGTGGACCCACTCCGAAT